AAAAGAAATATCGTACATCAAAAACATTCTTTTAGTTATATAATTTTATTCATAGGAGATTGATAAATAAAATATGAAAAAATATATTTATAGGATCATTTTTTTTTTCATTCAAAAAATCATATATACCTGTTGTAGTCATTCTTGTGGGTGCTATAGGGAAGAGCAATCTTTTAGTTATATAAACAAAATGAACAAGGTGAGTGTAGCTTTATACAACATTTTTCTGAACCACTTAAAAATAAAAAAATTTATATAGTTTTTGTTTAATTAATTGACTAGTGTCAATTTATAGAGAAAAAAAAAATAGGCTCAATGCATGTGTATCATGAATTTCTCTCCAATGTATTTGACATCTTGAGGCAAAGACTTTAGACAGTTGCATGGAAAATATGGAACAAAAACTTTGCCTATATTGTATGGGGAAAGTTTTCATATTTGAACGTCACTGGTCTGATTAATTTAGATTCATTTAGTATAAATGAACCTATTAAGATAGTTGAAAAGTTTTCTATAAAAAAAATCTTTATTTTTAAAATTCTTTTGTTACATTCGACAAAGACTTCGATTTAATTAGTTGTTTGTGAATTCTTTATGCCGTTTTGTAATGTCAATATCGTAGATGTGAACTTCTATTTGAAAAACAAGAGGAAGAAAATATTTCACATAATTAGGACTTAGTCTTATTAGTAGCGTATTTATGTATTTGGCTTGGTGATAATATAAAGCATCGTGTCGATTGTTGTACATATAATTATTGGTTTTTGTATTTGATATTGCCTATTCATGTGTTTAGGTGATCGGACATTGCATATATGTTCTGCATTGCTTTGCTTTGTATTAACCATATTATTATACGTTCTTACTTTTGATGTCTCGCATCATTAATTGCTTACTATGTTTCGATTATCGTACTATTCTGTTAGTCGTTGTGTAGTTACAATCTCTTCTACATTGTTTCTTCTTCTTTATACTTGAATGTGTTGCACTCGAGTGTGGATCTTCCAGAAACAGTCTCTCTACCTCCACAAAGTAGTGATAAAAATTACGCATGCTCTTTCCTTCACAAATTCCACTTGTGGGATTTCATTGAATATGTTATTGTTGTTTTTCTTGTAAGAATCCTTTGGTACTCAAAATAAGGTAAGATATCCTAGGATTAAATTTGAGATTAGATATTCGATTAATCTTGAATTTAATCATGAATATCCTTATCTTACCAAACTTGAAAATTATTGACTAGTATAGTGTAATATTTTTTTAGGTAATTCTTAGGCCTCATGGGCACATGACAATATATGTAAAATATTTTATTCATTATATGACTCTTAATTAATATGAGAAATTACAATTCATAGATACTCATACACACCAAAACTAAAGTATTTAAACATTTTTATGAACTCGTTAATTAACAACAACAATAACAACATTAATAATATTTTGCTGGGGACAAAGTTGACATAATAAGGTGAATGACGCCTCTTATTCAGAGGACTATTGGGAGCAACGTGGGCTCTTTCATCCCTTAATATTAATAATTGTGACATCATCCATTTATGGACGATGATCTGGAGGACTATTGTCAATCGGAACATAAATTAACGGAGAAGGAATATTGAAAAAACTATCAATCTGTCTCAAATCTCTCGTGATATCTGATAATCAAAACAAAAGAAATGTTATACGTTAGAGATATTATTTCAGTTATATGATTTTTTGATAAATTCAAATATTTAAAGGATATTTTTTTTTCATACAAAATTTTAAAAAAATCATATATACCTGTTGGAGTCATTCTTGTGGGTGCTACAGGGAAGAGCAATCCACCCAAAAATATAAACAAAATGAACAAGGTGAGTGTTGCTTTGTACAACATTTTTCTTAAGCACTTTGAGAAAAACTATATTATAAAAAAAAAAATGATGGGTTAAATTGCACAGCCCTTTTAATAAATTTTGAAGTTTTATAAAGACTTTCTTAGGTCATAAAGTCAAATCTTCTCCTAAATTCCACACGTATTTCATAATTTTCAAAATTAAACATCAAAATGTCAAGTCATATATTAAATTCGACTCTCTTTTTTCTAAATTTTCAGATCCCATTGTGAGAAAAAAGTAGTGTTTTATATTATGAAATGAAAATATATACGTGTGTTAATATTACATGATTAAACTAATCTAAAGATAAAGATATAGAAATCTCACGTAAGTATGGAGAAATCAAGGATTGTATTGATAAAAAATAATGTTGAGTTACAAGCTCCCTATATAGGAGAAGAGTCCTATTCTAGCTATACTAGGAATTCTACTACAACACAAATATATTAATATACATGATATCCTAGTCGACTTTAACCTCCTACACGATCCAGTAACTTAGTCGTACATAATTTAGGATTTAGTAGTCTAGTCCTAATATGACTCTAATTCTAACTCGTCAGCCTGCTTCGATGGACCTGTTCCTTCGACATATTCCTTCAGTCTTCAGGCTTCCTTCAACAAAAAATATTCTTTAAATAAGTTGCGTAACAATTTTTATATTATTAATAACCGTATCATGATAATTTATTTATTGTCCCCTATTGTGGAATACTGATTCAACGAGATATGTGTGTTTATATATGTTGAGAAAAATTAAATATATGATGGTGGATAATATATTTTTCTCGACCTTCATATATATATATATATATATAGTTAAACCTCTCTATAGTAATAATGTTTGTCTTAAAGTTTCGTTTCTACTATAGAGAGTTGTAGTTATATATATATATGTACATTCATATTAGGTGTTTAGATCTCATTTTAGATGTTATAAACAACAGTATGTAAAATTACTTTTTGTACTTTTTTATGTTATAAATAAAAATAAAATACTTGTTAAATTTAAAATCTCAATTTGTTTTCATATTTCATTTATTAAAAATTGAAAAGATCAATACATTACTGACAAATTCATAACTAGTTCATGTACCATACTAAGCTTTTGACTTTTCTATTAATTCTACAACAAATAAAACATTTTATTCATAATATGACTCTTAATATAAGAAATTTCTCTCCAATGTATTTGCCATCATGAGGCAAAGACTTAGACAATTGCATGGAAAATATGGAACAAATTTAAGACTTTGCCTATATTGTATGGGGAAAGTTTTCATATTTGAACGTCACTGGTCTGATTAATTCAGATTCATACTAGTATAAATGAACCTATTAAGATAGTTGAAACGTTTCCTATAAAAAAATCTTTTTTTAAAATTCCAAACTTAGAGACATTTAATTAAGTTCGAAGGAATTTCACTTGATTTGTCACATTCCTTGATGGAAAAAAATATTTTGATACATTAGACAAAGACTTTGGTTTAATTAGTTGTTTGTGAACTATGTATGCTGTTTTGTAATATCAATATCGTAGATGTGAACTTCTATTTAAAAAACAAGAGGAAGAAAATATTTCACATAACTAGGACTTGTCTTAATTATTAGTAGCGTATTTATGTATTTGGCTTGGTGATAGTATAAAGCATCGTGTCGATTGTTGTACATATAATTATTGGTTTTTGTATTTGATATTGACTATTCATGTGTTTAGGTGATCGGACTTTGCATACATGTTCTACATTGCTTTGCTTTGTATTAACCATATTATTATATGTTCTTACTTTTGATGTCTCGCATCATTAATTGTTTACTATGTTTCGATTATCGTACTATTCTGTTAGTCGTTGTGTAGTTACAATCTCTTCTACATTATTTTCTTCTTCTTTATACTTGAATGTGTTGCACTCGAGTGGGGATCTTCCAGAAACAGTCTCTCTACCTCCACAAAATAGTGATAAAAATTACGTATGCTCTACCCTTTCCAAACTCCATTTGTGGAATTTCATTGAATATTTTATTGTTGTTTTTCTTGTAAGAATATATCGTTTGGTACTCACTATAAGGTGAGATATTCTATATTCCTGTTGCAGTCATTCTTGTGGGTGCTACAGGGAAGAGCAATCCACCCAAAAATATAAACAAAATGAACAAGGCGACTTTAGCTTTGTACAACATTTTCTCAACCACTTAAAAAATAATAATATAGTTTTTTTTTTAATGAGATTGATTAGTGTCAATTTATAGAGAAAAAAATAAATAAAATAGGCTCAATGCATGTGAATCATGACTTTAGACAATTGCATGGAAATAGGGAACAAAGACTTTGCCTATATTATATTGTATGGGGAAATTTCTCTCATTCGTACATTACTAGTCTGATTAATTTTAATTCACGTTAATATAAATGAACTTATTAAGATAGTTAAACATTTTTTATCAAAAAAAAATTCATTTAAAAATCTCAAACTCGAGACATTTTATTAAGAGTGAAGAAATTTTAATCAATTCGTCACATTTTCTTTTGTTATATTCGACAAAGACTTTGATTTGATTAGTTGTATGTGAACTTTGTGCGCCGTTTTGTAGAGTCAATATCATAGATGAATAAAGTGGATATTTTAGAATTAAATTGAATTTTAAATTTATACCGTATTTGATTAATCTCAAGTTTAATCCTAAATATGTCAACTTATATCATCAAACTTGAAATTATTTTATGCTTTAGTCGACTAAGTTTATTGACTAATATTATGTGATTGTCCCTATCTGGTCTAGCTCTATTTTTGTGAGCTTACTCACATAGTCGGTCTCTAGATAAGGCCACAATACTGAGGATTCATATAATTGATACTAACTATTTGGGTTTGAGGCACATATATGTTTTGTATCGTTGTTTGTGTTAACAATTGTATGCCATTTTAGAACAATAGAAGTTGAAGATGCTAAATTTGGGGAAAAACCTCGATGTAATCTCACAAGTGGAGTCTGCAGAAGGTAGTGTGTACACATACCTTACCCCTACGTTGTGAATACAGAGAGATTGTTTCCGATAGACCCTCAACTCACAAAATCAGTAAGAAAAGGAAATTAAATACAATAGTGAAGAAGTCACGAAGAAAGAAGAAGAGAGCTGCAAGCAATGCTTAAACAATAGTTTATGGTTGAAACATCACAATTTGATTCATCTATTTTAAAAGTAACGATTCCTCATTTCACAGAGATGAAACTAGAACAACACTTCACCTGAAGTGAAGCTTCCAGACTTCTCGAACATTCGAGGAACCATCAGTAACCTCGGAAATGAGAGAAGCTGCTAGAACACCTGATGAAGAAAACAAGAAACTCATGAGTATTCTCTTAAAACATCAACTGGAAATAACGAAAAGGGTTAAAAGCAACGATGATCAGTAGGATAGTGCATGATAAGCAATTTGAAGCAATGCAGACGAGCAAGCTAACAGCGATATGAAGGTATTGTATTGATCACACAACCCGGACTGGACACTAGCTGTGTGTAGCAACTGGAATCCTCATGATAATCCAGGCGCACTAGTCGCTCATGTGATTCTAGTAAGAATAGGATGCAGTGGAGTATTGAGCTCTATCTATTAGGAAACTAGGCGTTTGATGGATCATATGATAAAATATGTCTAATTCATTAACCCTAAAAAGCAGTCACCGGAGTGAGATAAGACATGAGAAGCATTGTTAGTCGAGGCACTCGGGGGCAGGGGGAGTAGAAACAAGCCTCTACTCCCGCTCCACCTCATGGCATGACCAATGAAGCATAATGATCCTCAAACAACAACAATATACCCAGTGTAATCCCCATAAATGGAGTCTGGGGAGGGTAGGGTGTACGCAGACCTTACCCCTACCTTTGGGGGTAGGGAGACTGTTTCCAATAGAACCTTGGCTCAAAAGAGAAAAGCATGATGATCACCGAAAAAAAGAAAAAAGAGACTGATAACCAGTTCATAATTCAACAGCTTTAGAGGACAACGATCCAGTTCACAATGGAAAATGCAGTAGGAAGTATATTAATAGGAATAAGAGTAAAAGTAAACAAAGTAGCACACCGTCTTTCTCCACAATCGAAATAAATCGCCTTGATCCACCACCAACACCAAAATAATGCTTCTTTGCAGCTAGATATACAATACCATGAGGACTACATAAGCACTGCACAAAAAATAGAAAAAGGAAGGAACAAAAGCAAAAGCTCAGACGCAAGGAGATTCACCGATAGAACTAAAATTAGAATTTCAACCAAAACAAACCTTTTTAATAAGTTTGTACAGACTAGGTAGAGTAGAAACTGAGTAAACTGTCTCAGCCATGAGAATTATATCATAACCAGCAGCCTGATCAACTGTTTGGCCCTTTTTTGTGACATCGTCATCAGCAGGTACATGAGGAAGAATCAGATGAGCTTCATTCCAATCACTTGCAAAGAAGCGAACTTCAGCACTATTATTGTCATCTGTGGCCGACAAGTTCTGTTGAATATTGGCATTGACATTTGGAATTGTTAGGCATTGGAGCACCTCAGCATTGAAGTCCTGAAAGTGTACAGCACGAGCACCCTAGTACAACGAAAGAAAAAATCTTGATCAAGAGGACGATAATGAGACAATTAATCGAAAATCAGTTAAGGCATTTATGTACCTTAAGGCATGCAAAGATCCCAGGAAGACCATGACCACAACCAAGCTGAAAACAAATGAAAGAGAGTCAACAAGATTAATAATGGAAGATAATTACAAGAGTAAAGTATTGAGTCAAGATTAGTTGGCAAATCTAAAAGCATTAGGGTGTTGATCCCTCAAGGATAATCACAACTGAAAGATAAAAATGATAATGACAGTAACTATGACGAAGTCTTATTTAAATGAGAGAACTGAAATATGTTATAATGAAACTTAATAGGAAATCAACATTTCCACTATCAATCTCAAATTTGACCTCAACTATTTATGTTCAATCAAAGGGGTAAAGAAAACTGAGAAGACTTCCTCAATTGAAAAACTGAAGTTGAGCAAAAAGGGAGTGATTGGAGATGAAAAATTTCCTCCCCTAAAGACGGTTTCTCCGGGTATTCAATAAAAACTTAAAGTGATCATAGTCGATACAAACTTGCACAACTATAAAAGAGAATCACCTATCAATATCTCTTTCTTTGGCAGAAGCATATGATCTATTTAGGGAAAGCAAAAGTTGTTAACAGAAAAAGAACTTTAGTATGCTTAACGAACATAATAAATCGGACATCATTTTGACTAAAACTGCAATGAGAAGGTTAATGGAAAGCCGAAGCTAAGAGTGGATTTAATATGTTAGGATTAGCAGTCTCTAGGCATAGCATACAAGATCAAAGATTTCACCTCCACATTAGGAGCCCACCTCTAAAACTCTTTTTCCAGTCAATGATAATTTGCCGCTTTGCATCTCAGAGCTTAGAGTCTTCACTAAATCTAATGAACCTTCCCACAATTTCAGCCCCCCTGCGAAATGAGAATAACATAAATGAGAATATCAGTCATCTAGGTGCACTTCACATTCTAATTAGTGATCAGTAAGCACTACCATATCTGTAAATAGAATGGCCTTGGGACTTTTTTCTCAAGACTTACTGTCCTGCCATGAACTTTCCCTTACAAAACTCTACTTTATTTGGCAATAAAAATTGATGTCACTACATCTTATTCCACATCTGATAAATTTAAAATACTCCTATAAAAACGACATTCAACTTAATAAAGTTCACATAATTCATGTTGAGGTATCAGTATTTGTGATGAGCATGAAGGAGACAAAATGGAGAACTAAATTGTTACGTACCTTCATATTTCCCGGGGATTAAATCTGAATTAGACAACCCAAATACCTCCTTTGTACTGACCCTTCCCTAGAAAAGAATTAAACACCAGTTAAGGCAACTAAACATAAACTAAATCATTCCTTTCTTCCGTTAAAAATGGTTTCCATGGAAAATGTTTTACCTTAGGAAATCATAGGCACGAAATCATAAGTGTTTGTTTGGTAACAAAAGCAGGTAACAATTGGTACTTGTAAAAGACATTGTACAGAGTATAAGTACAGTGTCATTACGATGATATCTTTTAGCAGGCTCACAAGTATTTCTAGAAAAGTTGATCGAAACAAGCTAATCGAAGTAAAAGCTAGAATCTTTGTACAGAAAAATGACTCAACTTATTAAAAAAATTGTTTTTTGGAGAAAAAACATTTCCGCAATTGTAAGTAACCAAACACTGAAAAATGATTTTATCAAGAAAAATATTTTTTAGCACATAAAAAAGGAAGGAGTTAATAAGATCATAGAACTAATCTTACCTTAAGCAAAGTAAGGCCATCCAAATCTATAGGCTCCACATTGAACTCCACATTTGATGAAACCTACTCCAACAACAATAACAATAACTACGCCTCAGTCCCAAACAAGTCGGGTTCGGCTATATGAATCTCAACTTCTTCATTTAAACTCATTTCATATCATATCATACTAAACAAAATAAAAGTAAAAAATAAGCACTTCCTCCGTTTCAATTTGTTTGTCTTGCTTACGCATGTTTCAAAAAGAATGTCACTTTCTTTTTTGGCCACTATTTGATTCCAACTTCCACGTGACATATTTAAGACCACAAGATTAAAGCACACTAGGATACATCCTACATACATTTAGTTAAAGACCACTCGATTAAAGGATACTAGGGTGCATCCTACATATATTTAGTTAAAGACTACAAGATTCAAAAATCTTATTTATTTTCTAAAGTTTAGTGGCAAGTCAAAACCAGACAAACAAATTGAAGGAGTAACAATATGAGTTTTCAATATATTAAAAAGAAAAATCAACTTCTCGAGATTCAAACTATGAGAACTTTTTCACCAACATTTTTAAATGTGTTCTTCTTCATCATATCGACGGGAGAATAATTGCAACTTGTAGTACTTTCTATCAATTTAATCCAACTTAACTTCAAATATTAGTTAAATTAACTCTCGATAAGCAAAAAGTGTCACAAAAATACCTGTGAGGGAAGTACTTCAACAGAAGGAGGAGGAGGTGGAAGAGGCTTTTCTGGGCCATCAAGAAATCCTGACCCGAATCCGAATCCGAACCCAGATTGGGATTTTTCATCAAATAGACGAAATGGGTCGGGTCGTCCAGTAGCTGATGTATTCGCCTCCATAACTAAAAAGCTTCAAGTTCGAGCTTTCAGTGTTGAAGACGGCAACTGATGGAGAAGCAGTAGCTATTTTTCTAAACGGGCCAAGATATATATATATACGGGCCTTACTTATTGGGCTTTCGTTTTGTAACGGGCTTACTATTTGAACTATCATTTTGTTGATAGGCTTATTATGGTCGAAGTTAGATAATATATAGGGAAAATTACGCGATTAAACAAACATACATTAGTTAATTAGTTAATTAGCTAATATAGCTACAGTTTGCATTATTACAATTTGGAACCTACTTTTAGCTATAGTTATATTCTCACTCTCGCCTCTCTCCTCTCTTCCTCTCTCCCCTCTCTCTGGAATCTCGCTCGCCACTCTCCTCTTTTTCAGTCATCTCTCCCTCGCCTATCTCATCTCCCTGCCAGTCTCTTTCTCGATTCTCTTATGTCAATCCCTCTCTCACTTTATACAACCACAAATGTATAAAATGTGTTTGTGTTAGTATAAAGCGAGAGAGATTGAATATACAAATACAAATGTTTTAACTCGATTCAATTGTATACGAATTCAAACTTTATGAAGATATATGTATACATAGTAGTTACATATATACAATTATCTAACCAATATATACATATACAATTCACCTTTCTCCACTTTCTTCCTTTTCTCACTCGCCTCTATCCTATCTCCCAATCTCGCTCGCCACTTTCCTTCCTATAACATGTAGCTACGAATCGTAATTAGCAAACTATAGTTATGGAGCATAATTAAGTTATTTTTGAGGGATTGTATGCGAAAATTCTCCATTTATTTAATTATATACTAAAACATATATATTTGATTTCTTTTTTAAGGATAATCAACAATGGAACCAAAAAGGTCCAATTGAACAATATGTGATTCAAATCGTGACAACTTGACTATCTTAAGCTCTAATTAAGAGATAAATTGTTCACAATTTGGATGTAATGCCCATTAATTAAAGACAAGATAAGAAAAAACAACAAAGCAAAGGGCATGACATTATTGATACAATTGATTGACATAACAACATTAAGATGATGAAACTCTAATCTTGTTTGAAGTTGAAGAAACTAAGTCAATGGCACATCCCAATGGCCATGCTGCTCCAACTAGATAATTTTTGTATTGCACATCATGTATCACTGTTATTTCTTTGTGTGGATTTAGTCCTGTCCAAAAAAAGAGGGCGGGGGGGGGGGGGGGG